GTTCCAGCTTAGGCACCAAAATCATCTGAGGAGTGCAGGTAGGCCCCGACTGTGCGCTGCCCTAGGATCCAAAATGACCCACGCAGCTGTCGCTCAGGTCAAACGCCTCACTAGGCCCAACCCCTACCCCTCTAATGTGCAGCCGTGGACACAAAGCTGTCTGCTTCTCCTCTCGGCCTTCAGGCTGGCGGTTGTTTGTCTCCCAAACAGGACAAAGCCCAGCGTCCTGATCCCCTGTTCTGTGCAGTGTTGTCCTGCTGGAAGTGACCAATGCACTCGTCAACTGTCCTCCAGGGAGGCTTCATCCTCAGGCCACACCACAGCCCAGGAGCCAGAGGCTCCCTGAGATCAATGCGTAGATACCTCAGCCCAGGGCCCCTTTGCCTTCAGTTTTTCATTTGGCAAAAAAGGAACCTCCGTTGTGCAGCCATCCCAGAGACAAACCCTTTGTGAGGAGCGAAATGGTGACACAAATCTGACAAACGTTCTCTGAGCCTCAGGCAAGGCTGTTTTATCTCCAGTTAAACCTGTACTATTGTACACACTCACCCATTACCCTTTCAGAAATCCTTTTCCTATTGGCTTTAGCTTTTCGGTCACATGTTATCCAATGTCAGTCAATAGGGCCTTGATGTCACTCAGGCCAAAACTTGGGAAACTTTCAGGCCACAGACAGTTGGAAGGAGTCACTATGGATTGAAAATAACTCAACCGCACTCAGCAACAGCCGTTTGCCCAGATGGCCAGCTCCCATAGGCCCTCACAAAGAACACCTTATGAGAATGAAAACAAAAGCTTCATTCTATCATTGGTAAGATACCAATGAGGTATTGTTTGGTTTTAGTAGATATTGTTGCGTGTTGTCTAGTCAGTTCCTACTCATAGCGACCCTGTCCTAGGTTCCTAAGGAGTGGCAGGTGGGTTTGAACTGCCAACTTGTGTTTAGCAGCCTAATGCTTAGCCTAGAGTGCCGCACCAGGACACCTTAGTAGGTATCAGGCATTGTCGAGTCCTGTTAGTAGCATAAATAGAATCATGCTATAAAATTAGCAGTTGGATCCCAGGCACTGGCCAGTTGGGGAATGCTGACAGTGGTCCCTGGGATCACTGGTCTAGGCATGAGGCCTCCACTCTCAGACAGGTCCACCCCAACCTTCAGTGCCTTGTGAATGCCCTTCACGGAAGAGACCCACCACCAAGATCATCCCTATCACTATCTCACTCTTCCTTCCACTAGAAAACAGCAAGGAGACCGTCTCTAAAAAGATGGTGCCAAGTGACACAGAAGCAGTGATGGGCCTAGAAAGGTCTCGGGTTTGTGCTAACCGGTTTATGCCGGAGGCAGAACCCAAACCTCAGCAAAAAACCCAAACCCAAAAGTCCTTCTCTCTTCAACTATTCACAGAAAATCTGAAGGTAATGAAAGAGGCATACACCACCTTTAGTAACAAGCCAACCCTTTGTAGCTAAGTGTGATGTTGACCTTGTGTTGCAGGGTAGAACTGTGTTTCCTGGGCTTTCTTAGCTGTCATCTTGACAGAAGCAGATCGCCACCACTGGGTTAGTAGCTGATAGCAAATGACTTGTACCACCTAGGGCCCTACTCTTTAGGGACTGGCAGCGCAAATGCACTTCTGAGTGGGGACCAGGCAGGTGGCTTATATGAGGAAAATACAGGTGGGGTTTGGGGTTTTAGGTAACAATTGTGGTAAAATGGAGACAGAACAGCCCACCCAGAATGCCAGATCTTTCTGTGCGATCTTCCACGTTTTTAAATCTTGGCCAATAAAAAGCTTTTTGAACACGGCAGAAGCTGTTGCCTGTCAACTCTACCTTTGATGAATTCCTAACTTAAAAAAGAAAAAAAGCCCCCCAAAATTGAGACTCAGTGGAAATGCACGCTTAGATTGGTAAACACACGCATCACCGTTGGGGAGAAATGGGGTAAAGGCAGCAATGAAGCGGCGAGCTAAGCCTCACAATATTCAGTGGGCTTTTGTGGACCCAGTTGGGGACCTGGTTGGCAAGCAGTGCGAGGAGACCCGAGGACTCCTGGGCCCAGAGTCAGTGACGTGGCCACGGAGGACTCAAGTAGAGAATGGAGCTGCCGGCTGATGGGGAGAGGGCATGTGCACAAGAACACCCACACTTGCAGATGACACCCACGTGACCGGGACTGGATGACTGGATGATCAGAGCTCAACCAGAAGAAGAAAGAAGGGGGGGGTGGGGTGGGGAAGAAGATTGAGCTGATCCGAGCTGATGAACTTGACCTATGCATACGAATGCAGTGACACAAAAGAGGTGATAAATCCTTACAGCAAGAAACTTTCCCACCCCCTCCACACACAGAGTAGGCAGAGAGGGGCAACTTGGACATTGGATACCCAAATGGGGAGGGAGGGACTACAAAGGCAAGAAGTAACTGGCTTACAAGCTTTCAAGAGGGAACCTAGAGCTAGGGGGCATGGAGGAAGGCCAAAGGCCGAATCACCAGTGAGTACTATCCAATTTGTCTAGGTGGAGCTGATGAAATGAAATACAGATGGGTAACGTGCGATACTGTAGTGAATAGTGGTTATCAAGACGGATTGTGAGTGTTGGAAATGTAAGGGTAGATGTTTTGTAGCAAGGAAGAGAGCGATTATTTCTCCAGTCTAGGAGCGGAGGTCTCTGGGACCACCAACGGATAAGAGCCGAGAACGGGACCCCACCCAGAGAACCAGGGATGCCTGAGATGGAGACAGAGATGATGACATGGAGGAATGAAGCGGCTGGGGACTTTGGATCCAGAGAGGGAAAGGAACTGTGGGCCGAAGACTGAGGGGACAGGGGGGAGGGTAGAGCATGGGCTTCTAGGATATGCCCTTTGGTCGGAAGACGATGCATGGAGAGGATTGGAACCATAGCAATGTAATGATATACGATGGAATGAATATGGAACTGAGGTTCTCTCATGTAAACTATCATATAATTCACAATAAAACATTAAAAAAAAAAGAAAAAAAGCCAACCCTAAGTAATAAAACTCTAACCTAGTCAGAAAAAGCAACAGGGAAATAGAAAAGAGAAGCAGCTTAAAAACAGACAATATATATACTTAGTCTCCCCATTTTGAAACAAAACCAACAGGAATTCACAAAGAGCTCATCTTGTGTAAAAGGGAGCTGGCTGCATGCACCCATAGGCAAGATGGGGGTGCAATATTGAAAGTGACGCCGGGTGCCAGCTAACCCCAGATAAGCTGCCATCCTGCCTATCTGTCCTCACACTATCACTTTGAGGCAGGGCAGGGATGGGATGAAGAGGAAATCAAGGCCCTGAACAGAGAGGGTCCCTCAGTAATATTGTGGAGCTCATGGGCTACCGTTTTCCCAGTCCACATTTTGGCACCATCATCAAGGGTTAGAAGACCTCAGACAGCAGGCGTGAGACTGTGCGTCTGCTGACAGAGCACCATGCATAAATGCATGAAGTCACAGACTTCCGTTTGACAGAGCAGCCCACTAGGGACCACCAGGAGCTGCCCGGGTCTTCCCCAAGGCTCTGGATTTCTCCAGAGGCTGCGAGGAGGGAAGCACGAGGTGTTGCCCCAGGACATGCACTCATCGCCCTGCCTGACACACAGATGCAGGGGTGCATTCAGGGGCTGGGGCACTTCCCTGGCCATCTGGGTTGACCTTACACCTGAGCCTTTGGTCTAGCGCAAACCCCTTGCCTATGTATCCTAAGCACCTAACTTTCCTGTCTGGTACCTTGGGCAGCTCCCAGCATCCATGTGCTCAAAGTACTTGGCAGAAAGAGTGCTTGGCAACATCAGGTGGCAGGGGGGCCCTTCTCCCAGGTCTGCATCATGACCATGTCTGTCTGTCCTGGGCCCTAGCACATAGAACACCTTGGTCCACTGGCCTGAAGGGTCCCCAGGGCAATGGTGTGGCATTTATTCTGGCTTGTTGTGAGAGCCGGGGGTCTAGATGGCCCAGCTCCGCACTCTCTGGACTGAAGGCCTCATTCAAAAATCTAGCTCCTCCAGCATCCCTCCAAAGTTGCCACTGAGTTTCTGACCCATAGCACCCTATGGTACAAGGTAGAAATGCCCCACAGGGTTTATAAGGCTGTCACTTTCATGGGGATCCTGATGTGGCGCTGTAGGATAAGCACTGGACTGGTACTCACAAGGTCAGTGGTTCAAACCCACCAGCTGCTCCTCAGAAGTCCTATACAAGGGTGTTATGAGTCAGAACTGATTTGACAGCACTTAACAAGAAATCTTTATGGAAGCTCACGGTCACAACTTTCTCCCATGGAGCGGCTGTTGGATTTGAACCTCTGATCTTATGGTTAGTTAACTGAACACTTAACCACTATGCCATTAGAGTTTCTTCAAGGAGCCACAATTGGTATTTTGAGTGGAACAATTCTTTCCTGAGGGGGGCTGTCCTGCAGGATATGCAGGAAATTCCAGGGATGCCCCCAGTTGTGTTGACGCCCCTCAACAACCACATACACACACACACACACACACACACACTTCCAGTGTTGCCTGGAGGGCTCCTGGTTGAGAACCAGAGGATTGGTGACCTCTTCATACATTTGGCAACGGAAGCCCCAAAGGCTGAGTAACACGCCCAAGGCCACATTCCCAGACGTGAGGACTTCCAGTCCAGGGTTCCTTCCAGGTGGCTGCTGATGTAAGTGCCACCACACCACCAACACGCCCTGGGATGCCATACACAGTGGGTCACCAACTGTCTCCACAGCATGGAGAAACAGAGGCCAAGAGGAAATGACCTCACTGTAGCCCCAGAACAGGCATGTGCTAAGAGGGGAGCAGGTCCTCGGGGACACATCCCCCGAGATGCAGCTCAGCTGAGTCATTCTGTGACCGTGACAGCCTCCGGTAGACAGATGAGGCATTTGTAGATACCACCATCTCAGGGTCAGCATGGAGCTTGCGGAAGTCTGTAGGGTTAGGGCCAGGGGTGGCTGGGATCCAGCCTTCATCTCGAGTCTCCCGAGGGCTCCATGGCAGTGTGGGCTCCATCACAGTACCTGGCCTTTCTCCCGGCATCCTCACAGTCTCCGTTAGGAACTAGAGACGTCAGCACCAGCTCTTCCTCAGGATCCTGGAAGAGATCTGGAACCCAGGAGAGGGAAGTGGCCAATCAGAAGAGAAAATGCATGACTGGGAACGCTAGACTTAAAGGGGAGGAAGCCAGGCCCAGTGGAAACCTACTGGAAAGACAGCAAAATCTGAAAAGTCACCTACCCTTTGACCCAGCAAGTCAACTTCGAGGATTTGATCCTAAGGAAATAGTTAGGGCTCCTCAGTGGAACCACAGCAACTAGTCTGCCACCTACCAGTCTGAGGAGGAAACCAACACTGAGGAATCCCAGCAAAGAACTCAGGTCCTTGATGAGCCCCTGAGCTCCTGAGTCAACGGCCCTATGAGGGAAAGATTTCCCTGACTGTCTAGGTGAGCTTGAGTCATGCTTTCTCTTTCGGCAGCAGAACATGCCCTTACGGTGGCTGTTTGAGTAAACAGTGGGATGTAGGCATTAAATCTGATAATGTATAAAAAAATTCCACACACATACAAATGAGTACAAGTAAAACCAGGAAAATCTGAGTTAGATTGGGGGTGCAGGATTGTCTCCATGGCAACATCCTGGGTGTGATTTGAACTATAACGGTATACTATAGCGTTGCAAGATGTCACCAATGGAAAAGTAGGCAATGTGTACGTGGGATCTCTCTGCATTACTTAGTACAACAGCATATAAATCTATAGTTACCTAAACAAAAAATAAATAAAAGTTATAGATGTAGAACTGTTGATATGGATTAACACCCCACTAGCCCACTACTGCTGACTTGATGCCAACTCACACTGACCCTACAGGACTGTTGTCCCCTAGGGTTTCTGAGGCTGCAAATCTTTATGGAAGCTGGAAGCTAGAAGCCAACTGCCTCATCTTTCTCCCTTAGAGCAGCTGGTGGCTTTCAATGACTGACCTCTCAGTTAGCAGTTCAGTGCTTAACCCACGGCACCACTAGGGCTTATATGGAATGATCGTTAGATTACTGATGGAAAGAGAAGGCTGTAACACTCTGTAGTATCTATGTGTAATGTTGTTGTTAAGTGCCATTGAGTGAGTTCCAAGGGTGGGTTTGAACTGCTGACTTTGTGATTCACAGTCCAGTGCTGATCCTACAACATCACACTAGGAATCCATATATGTGTAATTGTTGTTGTGTACCATGGAGTTGGTTCCGACTCATAGGGACCCTGTTCAGGGTTTCTGTGGCTGTAAATCTTTACGGGAGCAGAAAGCCTCATCTTTCTCCCGCGGAACTGCTAGTAGTTTCGAACTGCTGACCCTGAGGTTAGCAGCCCGATTTGTAACCACTGCGCTATCAGAGCTCCTTTGCGTAACAGTCCATGTTTATATATGGGGTCCTGGGGTAGCACTGTGGGTTAATGCGCTGGACTGCAAGGTTGATTTGAAATGCAAGGTCGGTGGTTCAAGCTCACCAGTCGCTCCTCAGAAACCCTATACAGGTTTGCTGTGGGTCGGAACTGACTCGATGGCACTTAACAACAACAAAATTATATATATTAACTACACATGTATAGTTCATAAGTACAATATGCATTTTAATAAATTCACTTCTATATGAGAACAACTGATTATATGCAACAGAAAGAAAAATTATCCAAGAGTTACATAAAATTGTTAATATTCTTTCGCTTTAATTATTTAATTATTGTCGTTTTCATTTCCAGATATATTAAAAATGATGATGGAAAAGTTGAAAGTGAACACTTTTGCAATTACATGTTTTAAGTACCTGTTGCATTTGGTAGATTGTTTGTATCTAATTTTATAGAAGCAAATTTATTAAAGTTTAAACAGAATTCATATGTACGTGTGTTGTCATTATTATTAAGTGCTGCTGAGTCAATTCCAACTCTTAGTGACCCTGTATAGTGTTTCCGAGGAATGACTTTGAGCCGAAGAGTGGGCTTGAACCACTGACCTTGCAGTTAGAAGCCCAGTGCTTATTCTACAGCGCTACATATGTGTATGTGTGTGTATGTGTGTGTGTGTATATGTGTGTATATATGTGTATATGTGTGTATATATGTGTATATGTGTGTATATATGTGTATATGTGTGTATATATGTGTATATCCAAAAGAATGGCAGAATTAGCAATGAGTGATGAAATCAAGTGAGTAGTTTCTAATATTTGCTCTTTTTTTTGTTTTTGCATGTTTTGAACTTTTACCTGTGATGGCAGTATTCTACAAAGGCCTCCAAGAGCTCTCCCCCAGTGTACACGGCCTGTACAGCCCCCTCCCCTTGAATGTGGATGGGACCTGTGAAGGTTATGTAATGGTTGCTGCTGATGATGTTGGGTGTTATGAAGTTGACTCCGTGTGACAGAGCCGAACAGCCCAATAGGGGTTTGTAAGGCTGCAGTTCTTATAATTACTCCTGGTGTGGTGCTGTAGGGTAAGCAATGGACTGTTAGCCGCAAGCTTAAACCCACCCGCTGCTCCTTGGAAACCCTATACAGGGTCCCTAAGAACAGGAATCAACTGGAAGGCACATAACAACCATTCTTTATGAGAGCAGAGTACCGGCGGAGTCGCTGGATGGATTTGAACCACCAACCTTTCAGTTAGCAATCAAGAGCTTAGCCATTAAGTCAACAAAGATGATGGGGTTTCCTTTCTATGATCACGTTACATTATACATGACTCCTTAGCAGACGGGAGTGAGATTCTCCTGCTGGCCTTGAAGAAGTGGGTTGCAATGCTTACTGCGGTCTTGTGACAAGGAGCTGGCAGTGGGGAGGGGGAGGACTCTTAAAACTGACGGCAGTCCAGCTGACAGCCAGTAAGAACCAAGAAAACAGAGGTCACATTCCTACATGGATTCTGCCACCAACCATGTGAGCTTGCAAAAGGACTCTGAGCTCCAGAAAGGACCGCAGCCCAGCTGATACCCTGACTGGAAGTGTGAGACTCTCAGCAGAGAAAGGGAGAAGCTGGACTCAGACTTGAGACACACAGCAACTGTGAGACAATAAATGTGCCTTGTTTCAAGCCTCTAAGTTTGCTGGCATCTGTTTTTACACAGCTGTAGCAAACGAATTCATCACCTGATGGTTTGTAAAAGGGATGAAGTAAGTTCATTTTAAAACACTGTCCAAGGTTTGCTATACTTTTCCAGATACTTTGGGGCTGGAGATCACAGCCATTCAGCTGGTTACAACCTGCTCCCCTGAGTATTTCAGTGCACCCCAACACACAGCCAGTACCTACATCACAGCCCTGCCCATATTACCTCATTAGCCAGAGGTACCCAGGGCAAGAGCCCTCACCTGGGGTTGTGGGCACTTCGCATTGCTCACTATGGATGCTAATCCCACTCTGTCCCGAGGGTCCCTGTTTCCACAGGACCACTCCCATAATTTCAAGCACTCTGCCTTGGGAATCCAGGAAGCTGGGAAGTAAGACACTCACCCTGGGCTGGGTCGCTGGAGGAGGCTTCCGTCCCGCTTTTCCTCCGGCTCCAGGGACCCCAAGAAAAGCAGGCCAGCAGTCCTGGAAGGCCGGGTCTCTCCCAGGCTCCCTCACCTACAAAAAACACAAAGCCCCAGAAGCAGGGTCAGCTGGCTCCAGCAGGACGAGACTGTGTGATTTTCTGTTCAGCACACCAAGCACTTCTACTGCCAAGTGCCCTAACTTCAGTCATTTGACTGGAAAACAAAGGTTCTGATTTGCCAAAGTAGGCTCACAATAAAAGTTTTTTTAAAAAAAGAGAAAGTCCAATACACACACACACACACACACACATGGAGTTCTGGTAGCGTAGTGGTGATGAGTCAGACTGCTAATCTCAAGGCCAGCAGTTCAAAACTGCCTGCCGTTCCACGGGAGAAAGATGAGGCTTTCTGCTCCCGTACAGATTTACAGCCTCGGAAACCCTGTACAGAGTTACTATGGGTTGGAACTGACTCCACAGAACACAACCACCACTACCATCACACACACACATGTGGAGTCCTAGTGTGGCGCTGTAGGATAAGCACACAACCACAAGGTCAGTTTGAATTTCAAGGTTAGCAGTTCAAACTCACCAGCCTTTCCTCAGAAACCCTATACAGGGTCACTATGGTTCAGCACCGACTCGATGGCACTTCACAACAACGTATATAAACATATATAAAAGTCCTTGTGTGGTGCTGTACGATAAGCACTGGACTGCAAGGTTAGTTTGAACCGGAAGGTCGGCAATTCAAACCCACCAGCTACTCCTCGGAAACGCTATGCAGGGTCGCTATGACACTATGAGTCGGAACTGACTCCATCCTACAAGGTTGCTATGGGTGGAAACCTTCTTGAAGGCAGTGGGTTTAGGGATTATAGATGTAATCGTGTTTTGATAATGGCAAACATAACAATTGCAAGTTGATCCTAATTTTCTGGAGATGACCTGATAGCCTTCAGACATTTGCAACAATCAACAAGAACAACATTTAAAAAAAAAACGCAGGCAGCCAAGAAACTAGAAAATCCTTGCTCTAAATTTTGACTCAAGACCTTCATTTGGACCCAAGTTTAATAAGACTGGCTTCTTGGGTTTTCTATCAAAGATGGATGGGTTGTTGCTGTTAGGTGCCATTAGGTGGGGTTTTGACTCATATGTTGTTGTTGTTGTCGTTAAGTGCCGTTGAGTCGGTTTCCGACCCATAGCGACCATGGACAGGGTTTCTGAGGCTGTAAGTCTTTATGGGAGCAGAAAGCCTCATCTTTCTCCTGCGGAAGAGCTGGTAGTTTTGAACTGCTGACCCTGAGGTTAGCAGCCCGATTCGTAACCACTACACTACCAGATGGGTTCAAATTGCTAACCTTTCAATTAGCAGTGAAATGCTTAACCACTGTGCCACCAGGGCTCCTTGCAGTTGGGTTGTTGTTGTTGGTGAGCCGTAGAGTTGTTTCCAACTCATCACAACCCTGTATAGAGTTTCTGAGGCTATAAATCTTTGTTGTTGTTAAGTGCCGTGGAGTCGGTTCCGACTCATAGCAACCCTGCACAGGGTTTCCGAGGCTGTAAATCTTTACGGGAGGAGAACGCCTCATCTTTCTCCCGCGGAACTGCTGCTAGTTTCGAACTGCTGACCTTGTGGTTCACAGGCCGATTCGTAACCACTACGCTACCAAATCTTTACAGGCTTGGAAAACCTCAGCTTTCTCGCCACAGAGCACCTGGTGGATTGGAATTGCTGACCTTGAAATTAGCATAACTCAGTATGTAGGTGCCATACATAAATTGGGCAAAGAGATACTGAAAAAGGCAAGCAACCTAAAAGTCTACGGCAGCAAGCAAAGAGATGGGAAAATGTTAAAAAAAAAAAAAAACACACCAAAAAACCCAAACAGCCCTACCAAAACCAAGTAGGTATAAGGTGCTGCTCCCTGAAAAATCGTTTGTTTGGTTCACTATGTTTTTATAAAAGCAGAAAAGAATTTGAGCAGAGAATGATTTCCTTGCAAAGTATTAAAATTACCAAAGTGCTTAAAAAGAGGCTTAGTCAAACTAAGGATTCATTCACACATTCCTCATGCCAGGCAGGGAGGGGTCAGGGAATGGGGAAGATAGTGGTGATTAAGCGGATTAACGCAAACAAAGACAGTATTGCTTGTCAAGGGATTAAAGAGCATAAGGAAAAGGACAGGAGGGTCAAGGAGGACTTCCTAGAAGAGAAGGCCCAGTGGAAATGAAGAGAGGGTTGGCCCGGTGAAGAGGAGGTGAGAGCAGGTTTGGCTTTAGGGGTCTGAGAGCTGCTTCTGGTCTCCCAGCCAGCCCACTCCGGTTCCTGACTCATTTGTTGTTGTTGTTAAGTGTCAGCTCTGACTCACTCGAATATTTCATTCCCAGGATGTCAAGTAAGTAACAACAGAATTCAGGAGGCCGGTTACTGGTCTTTAAACGGAGCAAATTTCCTCCAGGTCTCAAGAGTGAGAGGTCTTGGCAAGGGGAGAGAGTAGGGGTCAGTCTTAAATTGAAAGAGGCCCACCTCTCACCCAAGGAGGCCAGGTCTTCCTGTTAGGAAAGCACCCCTCTCTCCCTTTCTCCCCAAGTCTGTAATCAGTGGGTAGTTGATTAGCACACCAATGACCCCAAGCACAAAACAGCCATAGTCTGCAGTAACCTTCAGTAACGTTTAGCAAAGGCCAGATGGGGGCTATCACTCCAAGGAGGTTCAGGAGGGATCTACTGTGCAAAGAAAGCCAGATCCAGTTATATGTAATACCACACTTTAGGGGTGGTGGTATGTGCTGTCAGTTGTGACTCAGCGACCCTGTTTCCGGGGCCTGTTAATCTTTACAGGAGCAGAGAGTCTGGTCATTCTCTTGCTGAGTGGCTGGTAGATTCAAACTGTTGATAACCAACTACACTACCAGGGGTCCTTAGGAGCCTGGAGAGTTCTGTGAAATCTTAAGCCCCAAGACCAGATTCGGACCTGCTGATGGCTGGGGAGCAGGAAACACTTTATGTGAGGGTGCAGGGAAAAGGGGGTACCCACAAGAGCTAGGTGGTGCCGCTAGATTATTTAAGGAGTCCTGGTGTGGCACTTCAGGATAATGCACTAGACTGCTAGGTCGGTTTGAACCGCAAGCTCATGGTTCAAACCCACCAGCCGCTACTTGGAAACCTTGTACAGGGTCCCTATAGGTTGGAACCGACTCGATGGCACTAAACAACAAGAGCTGGGGCCCACAGGAATTTAAGAGAGGGTGAGCAACCAGGGTGGGAAGGAACCAGGAACGACTAGTGCTTTCAGTCGCTGACTTCATATCCTATAACCTCTACTGCTAAGACCCTGCGAGGTTCTCACATTGAGCGAGACGCCGCGCTCCAAGCTGTGCTCGGCACCACCAACCGCTCATTCCAGTTCTGCCGAATGCCCCAACCTAGCAGTTTTCCAGCAACCCAAGTCTTTCCATCCCCTTCCCCTCCTAAGGCCCTCCTGGCTCTTCTCTCCAGACGAGCCGCCCCCTGTGGATGTCTTCCTCTGCATCTCCCATAACCTCCCACCTTCCCGAGACAGGGCCACTCAGCTCCAGGTGAGAGGCCCTGAGCTAGGTACTTTCCATCTCTGAACCTCAATTTACTCCGCGCCACCATGAGCGGGTCCAGTTCAAAGAGGTCCAGCCTGGGGAGCCCCCCCCGCAACCCCACGAGAACCCCCGTGCAGCCTCACCTGGTCTCCAGGGCCCGGCAGCTTGCAAGGCCCTACAGGCGGCCGCCTGGACAGCCAGGCTGGAGGCTGGGCGGCCGGGGTTGTAGGTGACCGCCTGCACCGGCCCCCCAGCCTGGCTGCCAAACACGACGTGCAGCAGCGCCTCTAGCAACTGCAACGCGGGCGCCACCGCGTCCTCGGGCCCGGCCTCAGTCACCAGTACCGCGACCAGCGCCGCGCCAACCGGCCGCCGACCGCGCACGTCCCGCAGCATCTCACGAAGGCGGCGCCTCCGGCCCCGGGCAGCCAGCGACGCGGCGCGGCACAGCACGAAGACGAGCGGCGAGCTGATGGCGCGAGTAAGCGGCCTGGGCGTGCTCGGCGTCCCTGGCGCTCGGCACCCGGCACCTGGCCCCGCATCCGCCGCGCCGCCCGTCTTGGCCCGCACCGGCTCGGGCGGGAACAGGGCGCGCGCGAAGTCCTGCAGCTGCGCACGACTCGGCTCGCGCTCCCATAGCTCGCCCACCAGCAGCACCTGCCCGCGGCCCCCCGCCGCCTCCACCAGCGCCTGGAAAGGCGACTCGGCTGAGTTTGCGGGCCGGCCAGCCAGCGTCTCCAGCTCGCGCTCCATGCCGCCGCCGCCGCCCTCTGCACCCGCCGCGCGCTGCCTGGGAAGCCCGGCCGGGAGGACACGCCCCCAGGGCCGCAGCCACCGGCTCCCGCGCACAGCCCCAGAGCGCACCGCCCCAGCCCTCCCCGTGGCACCTATCTTGGTCCCTGTTCATTCAGCAAATATTGAACAAGAGCCCACTAGGTGCACAGGTCCCTGGGGGACTGGGGGAGGGGACGCAAACTCTTTACTCTCTCCTAGTCCTGGAGCTCTGGTAGCGTAGTGGTTACGAATCGGGCTGCGAACCTTAAGGTCAGCGGTTCGAAACTACCAGCTGCTCTGAGGGAGAAAGATGAGGCTTTCTACTCCCGTAAAGATTTACACCCTCGGAAACCCTGTATAGGGTCGCTATGGGTCGGAGCCGACTCCACGACACTTAACAACAACAAATCCTGGTGTGGCGCTGTGGGCTAATGCGTCAGACTGCAAAGTCGATTGAACTACAAGGTCGGTGGTTCAAGATCACCAGCTGCTCCTTGGAAACCCTACACAGAGTCGATATGGGTCGGAATCGACTTGATGGCACTTCACAACAACAACTAACTTAAAGGTTGGCGGCGCCAAGCTCCTCAACGGCGCTGCAGAAGAAACGCCTGGCGATTTGCTTCAGCCAAGAAAACGCTAAGGAGTAGGTGTACTCTGTAATACATGGGGTCGTCATAAACCGGAATCCATTCCACACTAACTGGGTTTGGTTTTGGCTTTAAACTAGGTGGGGGCGCTGGACTACCGACAGTGGGGAGAAGCAGAAAACAGAAAACACGTGAATACGTAGACCCGCAGAGAATCTGATAAGTGCTAAGCGGAGCCGGGGTGGGGACAGGTTTATCTGAGGAGCCCACAGGGCTTGAAGAGAAGGGACTTTTGGATGAGCTGTGCTGCTTTAGGCGAGTGGGTGACTAAGTGGGGAGAGAGCTGAGGGAGACGAGTGGAATCAGATGTTAGTTATTTCTGGCCCCCAACTCCCTTTTTGAATTTTTAGTACGTAAATGTAACAAAAATGGATGGAGGGTTGTTACCTTAGTTACTGTGGGCCTGAGGATATTTTCAGGCGGATTGTTGTTTTCTGTGCAGCTTCATACACGGAGGTAGATGGCTGTTGCTGCCAGCACTTGGACCCACTGCCTTCAATGTGCGTGTCAAGAGGCAAAATGCATTTCATTTCAGTTTGGCTGGACTGGTCAGCCTTGTCCAGTAGAGCTTTCTGTCACAATAGGCATATTCTCTATTATCTACCCTTTGAACTGATGATCTTGTGGTTAACAGTCCAGTGCTTATCCTCCAGCGTCACACCGGGAGTCCTGTATATGGTCACTATGAGTTGGAACCAACTTGATGGCACTTAACAACAACAACAACATTTAATTAATGGAGGATTAGTGGGTCAGTGGTAGCGATTTCACCTGCCATGCTGTATTCCCAGGTTCAATTCCTGATCAACGACCATGTCCCTCAAGTGAAGCCACCACCCATCTGTCAGTGGGGGCTTGAGTGTTGCAACAACAACAACAACAACAATAACAATAACATGATGCTGGTTTCAGTGGAGCTTCCAAACTAAGACAGATGAGGAAGAAAGGCCTGAAGATTTACTTTTAAAAAATCAGCAACTGAAAACTCTATGGATCACAATGGTCCAATCTGAAATGCATCATGGGACTAAAGCAAGACCAGGCAGTGTTACCTTCTGTTGTGCTTGGGGTCTCTGGGAGTCTGGGCTGATTTGATAGCAGCTAACAACAGCAACAACAAAGACCACAGCCTTTATTCAATAAGGGTTACATCTCAATGTAAAGAAAACAAAAACCCTCACCACTGAACAAATGAATAACATCATGATAAATGGAGAAAAGATTGAAGTTGTCAAAGACTTCATTTTGCTTGGATCCACAATCAACACTCAAGGAAGCAGCCGTTTAGAAATCAAATGATGTATTGCATTAGGAAAATCTGCTGTACAAGAACTCTTTAAAGTGGTCTAGAGGAAAGATACCAGTTTGAGAGCTAAGGTGCGCCTGACCCAAGCCAGGGTATTTTCAGTAAGCTCATATGAATGTGAAGGTTGGACAGTGAATAAGGAAGACTATAGAAGGACTGATGCATTTGAGGTATGGTGTTGGAGGAGAATATTAAAAATACCATGGACTGCTGGAAGAACAAACAAATCTGTGGTAGAAAAAGTACAGCCAGAGTGCTTCTTGGAAGCCAGGATGGCCAGAGTTCATCTCTCATATTTCAGACATATTATCAGGAGGGACCAGGTACTGGTGGAGAAGGACATCATGCTTGGTAAAGTGGAGGCTCAGTGACAAAGAAGAAGCTGTCCAGTGAGATGATGGTGCAGGACCGGGCAGTGTTTTGTTCTGTTGTGCATAATAGGATCACCGTGAGTTAGAACTAATATGACAGTACTTAACAACAACAGTAACAACCCCAAATTTAAATAAGGTCAAGTGCTTACCCTACAGCGCCACACCAGGAGCCCTGTACAATGAGATAGAATCAACTCAATGGTGATCTTATTAGGCTATGGTAGGATGAGCAGTGGACTGCAAGGTCAGTTTGAACTGCTAGGATGGAAGTTAAAGCTTACCAGTCTCCCCTCAGAAACAGGAACGTTTTGAGTCAGAACTGACTGTATGGCAGTCAAGGTCTGCAGTCCTGGTGTGGTGATGTAGGATATCACTGGACTGCTAACCACAAGGTTGGTGGTTCAGCCAGCAGCTGCTCCTTAGGAACTCTATAAAGGGTCGCTATGAGTTGGAACAGACTTGAGGGCATTTAACAACAAAGACAAGTCAAGGTTTTTACCTCCCCATCTATTACATACTAGAAGCACCGGTAGCACTGCTGGATAAGCACTGAGCTGTGAACTTCAAGGTGGAGGTTCAAACCCACCA